ATCTGGCTTGGGGAGAAGGGGGGGGAGCCTCTCTGCTAGCCAAAGGGCCCCATGACTGGTGGGTCTGAATGCAGTCATTCAGATGGCTGTCCTTTTGCTCTGGGTTCTGCAAGCAGCCCTCTTCCCTCTGCCTTCTTCACTTCTTGGCAGCCCCCATGCAATATTCCCACAACTTTCCTTCTGCACTTCACTTCCCTCCTCTTCGCTGGCAAACCCTTCCTAAGACCCCTGGCACCAGCAGTGTCCAACTGAGAGCCTGTGGAGAAGGAGGATAAACACACACACCCCCTCTCAAATGCGTCTTGCTCCCATTTCACTTTCCTCTCTTAGGGAAAAATAGAATTGAAAGTTCTTTGGCAAAGCAAATCCTCTCGGATTTTGCAAAGCCTTAAAGAAGAGTTTGCCAACCTCGGCAACCTTCATAGGTGTGCTGGGGAATTCTGGGAGTTGATGTCCTCACCTCTGAAAGTTGCCAAGGTTGACAAACACTGCCTTAAGAGCATCAGCGTGCGGACATATTTATAACAATTTCTTTCAGGAGTAGGGCTGGGCTCACCTGGATTAGCCTTTGAGAGGCTTTCTTGCTTTATAGCCCCAAAATTGCATGTGTTGTAATTTGGAGAAACAGCCTTTTCCATTCTCCAAAAGAGAACCCCTCCTGGCTGTCTTTGCAGTGCAGATGTAGCACCCCTCGGACAGGCAATTCTGCCTCCAGCCCAGTGTGCAGAGCTGCCCCTTGCGAGCTGGACCTTGGAAACCTGAATGTTTTTTCCTGACCTGGAGCCCCAGATCCGACTTAAAAGTTGTGGCCTTAAATCATCTTGATGTGCATTTAAAAAAAAAAAACAATCCAGGGCTGGGCTCCAGCCTTGGCAAGGGCGCCCTGATGCCGCTTTCTGTCCCCTGGGATCGACCCTTGGCCTAAAATTCCTGCTTGTGAGTTGGTGCCGATGCACGCTGGGGGCGGAGAGACGGGCCTCGGTTGCTACACAGGCTTGGTAAGAGCTCCTCCATTAATGGGGTCAGGGTTTGCAGCGATAAAGATTTGCTGTTGTTAACTGTGTCAAAAAATCAATAAATCCCCAGCGATGCTCGGTTGCGATAGCAGGAGAGAAATCCCCAATAGCAGCTGCACGGGCTTGGGCGCATGTTGGCTGGGGGGGAGGGAGATGACGTTTTTGCCGAAAACAACCCTTTCCCGGAAGCAGAGGGAGGGCGGCCGAGGGTCTGGGGTAGGCCACTCCGCAGCCCTCTTTCCAGCCCTCTAGACCAGCTGCTCTCTGCCAGCCGGGATGCCGTTTTGAAGCAGAGAGGAGAGCATGGCGAAGCGGGTACCCATGGAAGGCAGTCTGGACCATCGGCTGCCCAGTTGCCCAGGTGAGGGAGAAACTCTGCGGGAACTGGAGGGGGGAGCACGAAACGGACCCTGCTTTGTCCCGCTGGGCCACCTTGCCTCTTAAGCCTGCGAGGGTGCAAATGTGCTTCCTTTCAGGCTGGCACCGTATGGCTGCGGGGCCATCTTGATCGGCTGGAGTTGACTCTTTTTGTCCTTGGGCCGCCTGGCAGTCGGGAGGTGGAGAACTTGTGTTCAACCTTGGCACTTTTTTTTGGCTCTTCGTTCACAATTAACGGGTCAGAAAAGACAATTGGGATTTGGCTTTGGAGACTGAATATCAGAGTGTAGCTCCCTTTGAGGTTAATTTGCCAGGAACGAGATGCAACTCATGTCTGGTTGTGGGTCTACTCAGCATCTTCTGCCTGGTGGGCCACCGGCTAACCTCCTCACCCGGAGAAGAAAGAGGAAGGGTCTCCCCAACCCCTCTCCTTTTCCTTCTCTTGTTTTCAGAGCGGATTTCAGGGGGAGGGGGCTTCAGTTATTCCAAGTATTGCCCCTGATTATTTGGGCAAAGCTGGGATAATCCCTTGAGCCCCTTGAAGAGATTTTCTTTTGTGAAGGGAGGTGAAGAGTGAAGGCAACGGTGGTTGCCGGCAGCTTTAAAACTCTCCCAATCACCCCCTCCATCTTATCAGGCGATTGTGCGTCATTTTGCTAGTTGAGTTGTCAGGATTGTGTGAGGGTGTATGTGTGCTTTAATGTTCCAGCTGCGCTGGGTTGGCTGTTTCCCAGCTTCTAAAAATTCAATCTTAGGAGGCCACGTTGGGTTTTGCCCTTCAGTCACACCCAGCAGGACAACCCATCTTCCAAGGCGCAGTCCTGAGCAGCCTCTTATTGACTTTTCCCCAGCACTGGATTCAAGTTACCCTATTCATGGAAGCTTCCCTAAGCTCTTCTGGTTTTGTTCTGAGGTTCCCCTTTGTCTTTTGTGGTACCAGCTGGAAGTTGAGTTCTCCCCATTGAACTGATCAGTAGGCAGAAGAATCACTACTTCTCATTGTTCAGATTATGGGCATTTGCTTAAAGCTAGGTTGGCTTCAAGAGAGGATGGCTGCTTCAGTTCAGACAGACAGAGTGGTGTGTCAATCGAAGAGAATCTTTGTAGTTCAGGATTGAATTGTGGGGATCTTGGTGCTCTCTAAGCTTGATTGCTTTCTTGCAGACGTTTCATTACCCAACTAGGGGACATCATCAGTGCACTGATGAAACGTTTGCAAGAACATAACCAAGCTCAGAGAGTACCAAGAACTCCACAGAGTGTGAATGGCAGTGGGAAGACCCACCACCAGATGATGGCTAGTCTTCATAAGCTTCTGAGTTCTTCTCTAGTATTTGGCTGAGCTTCAGCCAGACCAGGAACACAATAAGATTATGACGGTCTTTTACAGTTATGTCATGGATTGTAACGAACTTGGATGAGGTAGAGTGGATGCAATTGTCCTATGCAGGACTGGGGGCATAGGGGAACGGGTGCAATGAGATTTGAGAGTTTTAGTGGAGATAGTTCCTTTGGATGCTGGTTTTGGTTGCTAATTATCTCTGCTTGCATAGTGCTTACAGGGAGCAATCTAAGAGAAATTGGTCTTCTTTGTTTCGGGGGGGGGGCACTGAAATTTAAAGACAGGATGAGATGGTAAAGGAAGAAGGACCAAAGGTTCTTTAGTAGGCATGAGAGGACCTGGTTTTCTGTTTGTTTCCAATCAAATGATAAAGTTTGGCAGGTACACTTGCCAAACCTTTCCTCGTATGCTTTCTGGCTGGATAAAGTTGGCATGGCATCCAGTTCCCAAAATTGGTTCATTCTTTTGGGGTTAACAACAGCCAAGCTGATGGGTTGGGCAACCTGGGCCCTCCTGCAGGCTGCTGATGTTCCCGGCGTCCCTCTCCCTTGGCCAGGTGGGCTGGAACTACTGGCAGTTGTAGTTCAGGGCCATCTGGGGGGTAGCTGGTTTCCCAGCTCAGGGGTGGCAGTAGGTGAGATCACACAGAGAGGCCACAGAAAGAGCCAAGTCTCCTCCTATGAAATGCTTGGGGTCGGTTGGTGAGCAGCAGTTGGAAATGGGCAAAAAGGCAGACTTCACATGGACGTTTACTATTCTGGCATTCAGGTTCTGCCGTTCTCCTAGGACAGTGTTTCTCAAGCGTAGCAACTTGAAGAAGTCTGGACTTCAACTCCCAGAATTCCCCAGCCAGCCATGGAAGAGTTGAAGGCCACACATCTTCCAAGTTCCAGGTTGAGGAACGCTGCTGCGAGGGATTGTGCCATCCCACAGGATGGAGAAGTAACTCCTGTCCTTTTCATCTTCCCAATTCTTGAGGTGGCTGAGAACCCCCCTATCTGCTCCCAGGCTATTGTTCATGCTGCAGCCCATCCCCCTGTTCCCCCGCCCATAGAGTTGCATTGTCTAAATTATACAAATTAGTCACATCTGCAGTGGATGGAGCTAGATTGGGCCACTGAGGAGTTGTGGGAAAACCAGAATCTCTAAGAAGGTTCATCTGGATGGTGGATGCAGACAGAATAACAGAGTTGGAAGGTCCCAACCCCCTGTTCAAACAGGGGACCCTAAACCATTCGGGACAAATGGGTGTCCAATCTCTTCTTAAAAACCTCCTGTGATGGAGCACCCACAACTTCTAAAGGGTAGCTTGCAAGCAACCCAACCTGGGTCACGACACAGTACTTCTGAACTGCTGGCTAGCCTGGGTTGGGTTGGGCCCACATCCTCCCCCAGCCTCGCTGAGCTCTCTGGGCTCCAAATGCAGCCACGGCACCCCCTTTTCCAGCGAAGGTCCTTCTGTGGAGGCCCCCAAGAGACACCAGCCTCCTCAAGCGGCATCTCCTCGCCATCTTTCCTCTTCCCCTCCATTCCGCTTGTAACTTCATTATCGCCGGCACACAGACCGATACCAGCCCAATTTGGTTAATGATCCCAGAGATAGGAATTATTCTGATAACTTTGGGCCAGCTGGCTTTCAGGAACCAATCGGAGGGTTGCTTGGCCAGGAAGCTGATGGGGAGATAAGATAAGGGCAGAATTGTATTAACCTGCCGGGTGGTGAAACTGAGCGCCAGCGCCACCGATCCCGAGATTAGGGGCAGCCAGACGCAGGCGCACACCCGCCAGCCGGAGGGGGAGAAATGGACTTTGTCCCTTGCGATAATGACAACATTGTTTTGGCCATTAGGCCTGGCCAAACTATTAATTGATGTGTCCTGATCATGGCCAGTTGATCCGGGAGGCGGTGCCTGGGGGAAAGCTCAGATGGGGACCCTGCCTGCTCTTTGGAAGTGGGGTCCATCCGTCTGTCTGTCTGTCTGAAGTCCAGGCTCTGCAGAGATGGCCTTGGGCTAGAGACCCTGGGGTAGGAATCAGGAATATCCAGGCCTTGCTTTCAGGCTGAGGGTCTTCTCAGCCAGCCATGTTGGTGCCCACTGACATACATGTCAGCCCACCATCAGGAGACCAGCACTGCCCATTGTGCCCCTCCCTCCCTCCCTCTGCCTGCCTTTTATCCATCCATTCATCCATCCATCCAACCAACCTTTCTCCTTTGCACACTAGCAGAGATAGAGGGAGGGGGGAGGGAAGGGAAGGGCCCCTCCTCTGGGCTAGCCCTATTTTTGTCCCCTTCTGTCTGGAACGGTTGCCTTCTTTATCAGCGGCCGAGTGTTTTCTCTGGTGAGGATTGATACACAGAAGATGCTCTGCTCTGACATGGAAAGTGTCAGCCAGAGGCTCTTATCGTCCAGCCTTGGTCTCCTGACCCAAACAAAGCTGATTAGCCAGCAAGAAGCCGAGGGAGGGAGCGAGGAGGCTGCTGGGTATCCCAGGAGCCGGCCGGAAGTTGGAGCTCCCAGGCAAAGTGGGAAGTGTCTCCTCCGGACCTGCCCGTGGCAGAGATGGAGATCCCTACACACTGTTGCAGCGGCCCTGTTGAATGTTCTCTTTCAAATAGGGACACAGGGTTGCCTCCATTTTTCCATAGAGTTCGGGTGGGGGGTGACAAGGATCTTTGTTTTACAGGCTTTGGGTAGTTTGGTGCACCTCTTGAGTCTACAACCGTGTTTCTCCAGCTGGGCCGCTTTAAGGCAGCTGGACTTCAACTCCCATAATTCTCCAGCTTGGCTACTTTAAGGCAGCTGGACTTCAACTCCCATAATTCTCCAGCCAGTATGGTCCTGATGAGACTGGCACACCCTGGCCAAGATGGCCATGAAAGTTGGTGGTGCCCCTGAGGTGGGCAGAGACGGCTAGCTGTGGGCCCCCTCTCCTCCCTTCTGATAAACCCTGGCAGTGGGGACTTCTCCCTCCCTTCTTTTCTTCCCCCTTTGATGTGGGGAGAGGAGAAATCTGATCTCAAGGATTTGTTTCCCAGGCAGGTCAACGTGGACCCCCAAGCAGCCCCCTGCCGCCCACCTCCTTCCCCTGCAGAGGATTTAGAACGCTCACCCCTTCCTCCTTTCCCAGATGTGGAATGAGGAGGGGGAGGTCTTGCTTTAGCCTGCCTTGAAGTATTGTTTAACTGCCATCTTATCAGCAGGCAGCATGATGGAGGTGCAGCTAAAACATTTTTAGGCCAGTCTTCCCAGCCAATTTACATGTTATCTCCCCCCATTAAACCAAGAGGCTTATCAAACCATCAAGGCTATTACAGCTCCAGGCTGCCTCAGCCAAGGGTCCTAATGAAGCCTCAGAGAGGCTCCCTTTTCCAGGGAGAGATGCCAGCAACTTTGTCCCCTCCCCAAGAAAACCCCTCTCTGGCAGGGGTGTCCAACCTTGGCCACTTTAAGACCTGTGGACTTCATCTCCCAGAATTCCCCAGCCAGGCAGGGGTTTCCAATCTTGGCCACTAAGACCTGTGGACTTCAAGTCCCAGGCATGGCTGGCTGGGGAATTCTAGGAGTTGAAGTCCACAGGTCTAAAGTGGCCAAGGTTGCACATTCCTGCTCTATGGCATAATCGGAGAGGGTCCCGTAGAATGAGGTCCGAAGCAGGATTTGGGGTGAGTGATCCCAGCAAGAGGGTGTTCCCCAGGCAGAGCAGAGAGCATCCTTGGGCTTTTTGCAATCTGGGGCTCTTTGGTTGGGTTGATAGAGCAACCTGCCAATTTTTAGGCAGAAGCCTGGGATGGGTGAGTTTGGGGTGGGCACCAGGTCAAGTCAGGTGGGCAGATCCAAGATGCTACAATCTTCGTGTGACCCCAGAAGATCACCGGCACAGTGGTGGAGCCTGGTACACAGGTAATCTGGGAAGGCCTGGAAAGAGCCCTTTTCTTTTTTGCCCCTGCCATTTTTTTTCTTTTCCTCCTCCTCTTCCTCCTCCTCCTCCTCTTTCCAGTGAGGAAATGAGCAAGACTTTTCTAGGGAAGATTGAGTGATGGCACACAAACTCTTACGGCTCACCTGATTTTCCATCATTTCTGAACTGGTGACCATTCCCACCTCAAATCTCCCAGTTTAAATATTTGGCCTTGGCAAAGAGACCCTTCACCCTGTCTGTTCCAGCAAGGTGTTGTCGAAATGCTCCCACCTGTCCCCAAAGCACTGTCTAACTGGCAGAAGCCCCTTTTGCCAAGTTGAACTGCCTACTGAGTCTGGTGCGCCTCAGTGCCATGGCACGGTGTCCCTCAGCGGAGCAGCTCAAATAAACCCCTGGAGGGATCATCCAGGGTGCCGTGCAGGCTCTTCGTTGAGCCTTCGGACTTCCCCCAACCCTCCCTTTCTTCTTCTCTTTCAGACGAGTTGGAGCTCCTGACCTCCCAGGCGGAAAGCAAGGTGTGTGCCAAACACAGCATCCCCGGTGGAATGTTTTGGGGCCCGTTCCCGGGAAATATCCATAGCGAGCCGCCTTCTCCAGGACTGACCGAGCCGGTAAGTTTCCCCCAGATACGACAGTTAACTTTGTGGAGAAGGAACAAGCCATCCTGGACCCTTCACCTGAGGAACAGTCATGATAGGATTACAAACACCTCAGAATGGAATGGAGGGACACCCAAACACCCAGGGTGCGAGGGAGTTGTAGTACCAACATATTTGGGTGCGAGGAGGTGCAACCGCTATCCTGGATGGCTGTTAACAAGGAGTTGGCCACAGAGGGCGCATTCCCTCTCCTCTTCCCAGTCTGACTAGATCCCTGTCTCTGGCAGGACCAGCAGGAATCCAGAAGCGGCAGAGAAAGGGACCTCTGTGGGCGAATCATTTCTCTCTTTATTGGGGTCCTCCTCCAATAAAAATATTGCAAGATCCCTCAAGCCCCAGCGCTAAGGCCTCCAAGGGTGTCCCTGCAAAACGTCCCCCCACCTGGCATGATTTATGAGCTAAGGCCGAGAGCACTGAAGTGCCCAAAACCAGAAATGGAACCACAAGGCGAGGGGGGGCCCCGCCTGGGTGCTGGAGGGAAGCAGGAGGCTCCACTCTGGGGGGGCCTGCTGGGGGGGGGCTTTGATTGTCTCTTGGAGGTAACCGGGATGCCTGCGATGCATCCTCTTTCTCTCTCCAGCACCATCCGGGAATCTTGGCCTGGGCAGGGTGAGGGCTTGGGAACCGGTCCAATTTTTCCTTGTCCTTTTGCGAAGAGGAGGAGGAAGAGTATCGGGACCCAGCGTCTGGGCCTCCCCACTTTCTCCCCCTCTCTGCCTCCCTCTGCTCCCCATTTATCTTTTTTTGTGCTGAATTAAATCCTTGATTAACCCTTATCTTGCCAGTTTGGCAGCTATCTCTTCTGTGGCGCCGTCTGTCCAGACAACCGGTACAGGATGATTGATTCCTTAAAGATAGGCTGCAGCTTTCTTCTGATACTTCATTTATTGTCTAAATATTTTTGCTCCTGTTTCAGCAGCTTCCCTTATCCAGCCACCTTGACGATCCCCAGCCCTCTCCTTCACCTCTTTTTCCCTGGACTTGCCAGGGGGGAGGGAAGACCCTCCTGCCCCCTCAGCCTTTCTCCATTTTTGGCTCTGGAAGTCTCAGCTTTCATCAGTCCTGGGCTGGAGGGGCTTCCCACCTCTCTCCCCCAAATATTCTGGGAATGGAGTGGCCCAGAATGGAACATGGGTCCTTGGGGAGTGGGCGGCAAAACTACTGGCCCCTCCTTGGATGCCTGGCAGGTATCAGGTCTTAAGGAGCATCTCTCAAACTGGATGGGGCCAGTATGGCAGTGCAGGAACCAACTTGTGTCCCCATCTCCTCCAGAACTTTGGCAAAAGAGATCCCTTTCATTGGTTGGGAAGACCCTTCGAAGCAGAAGATGAGTAATTGGTGGGCCTTTCTTTGTGGGAGGCAGATCTGCAGTGAGGTCCTCCATTGATTCCAGTTGGATGAGGGTCTTGTAGACAAGGAAGGTTGTCCAAAGAAGGAAGAAGGAAGCTGGGAGAGGTGGTAAGATGGCGGAGCAAAGTTCTTAAATAGACTGGCATACAGAGATGAATAAGCATGGTGAAACTGGGCAGAGCAAAATGTGTAGCATCTGGGTACCAAAAGCAGACCCTGGAGATTTTGGTGTAAGATGGAGGAGGAAGTGTGGCATGTGACCTAGGGGTCAGAGCTGGAACAACTGGGATGGCAAGTAGACCAGATTCCTCAAAGTGCAGTTGAAAAATTGGATGGTGCTTCCTCTGGAGAAGAAAATATTCCTGAGTGATATGATTTTGATCATCAAACAATTGCAAGGCTGCCATTCAGAGGAACAGAATATACTTCTCTGCTGCTCCAGGGCTAGAGAGGGTGAACTGAGAAGAAACAGGTTTGAACTGAACATTAGGAAAAACGTCCCAGCAAGTGAGTTATTCAGCTGCAAACCAAGGCGCCACAGGAGGTGGTGGACTTGCCTCCCCTCGAGATATTGAAGCAGAAGATAAAACAACACATGAAGAGCAGGATTCTGATTTGAAGGCCCTGGCTTTAAAATACGTGATGATCTAAAACAGGGGTAGGCAACCTTGGCTCGTGGACTTCAACTCCCAGAATTCCTGAATCTGAATTCCTAAATTCTGGGAGTTGAAGTCCACGAGTCATAAAAGAGCCAAGGTTGCCTACCCCTGATCTAAAGCAATATTTCTAAGCCTTAGCAATTTTAAGAAGCATGGACTTCGATTTCCAGAGTTCCCCAGCTAGCTGGAGAAGGCCATGCCTCTCAAAGTTTCTGAGGTTGAGAAACCCTGATCTAGAGGGATGCTTCAGAGTAATTCTGTGAAAGTCCTCTTCCCTGCACCCCAAATACTTCCGGCTGTCCAATACGCTGGACTTGGGTGGTGCTTCCACGAACATCTGGTTGACCATTTGGGGGATTCAGAATCAGGGGAATTCAAATGGGGATCAGATCATAGATCCCAGTTTGCTCCTGGATGGGAGCAAATGTACTCCGTACTGAAAACCCACCACCTCTTGAGGGCATCTCCTCCTGCTTCTGGCATGATTCAACCACCCTCTGCAGGACAGCAATGGCTGGGCTTCTTTCTCCATGCCCCCTTCCTGCTGGGAGAGCAAATCACGGTGAAGTTTAGCAGTTAACAGGGTGGCAGGTTCTGCTCCTCTCCCTTGTTTAACGAGGGGTCTGGATAAAGTGTCCCAAGCGGACGTTACTCAGATAGAGTTTCCAATGGTTATCAGACCCACTGGAGATTCGAGACACTGACCTCTTTGTTAGAGGGGAAACAAGGAGAGTTCTCAGCATCACAATGCTGCCCCAGGCCCACTTCCTGCGGAGGGTCTGGAGTGGAAAATGGCTGGAAGAGAAGCCACAGCTGGGTTGTCAATGTGTGTGTCTCGTAGACTCTGGGGTATGTATCAGGATTGTAGGCCAAAATGGGATACTGCTTGCAGCCGGACCGGCCTTGGGATGGGACTGAAGGAAAGGGCTGGGGAGGAACCCTCTTGCAAAATTGGAGGATCTGGAGGGGGTGCGGCCCTCTGAACTGAGCCAGGTTTGGCCCAGGGGTCTTTGGGTTTTGGTGCCCTTGTGGTATGTATGTCCCTTTTGTGGGTGCACAGACTGAGGGTCCTACTCCAAGCAGTTTCCAAGCTGAAATCTAATATAAAGGAAGCCCAGAGGAATTATATCGCCTGCTGAAATGTGTGCTTTCCTCGACGTTGTGATCTCCATAGTATCTCCAAGTGTGGGATGCAAAAAATAGTGGCAATACAAATATACTGCTAAGAAAGGCCCACTAGAGAGGGGTCTCCAACCTTGGCAACTTTGCAACCTGTAGACTTCAACTTCCAGAATTCCCATAGCTGACTGAGGAATTCTGGGAGTTGAAGTTCACAAGTCGAAAAGTTTCCAAGGTAGGAGAGCCCTCCCCCAGAGAACGCCCTGCAGTACAGGGGATGGACGCGCAGGCCGTGGCAGATGTGGGCAGCGATAGGCATGCAGGCATCCAAAGGTTGCTGAGTCAGGGCACCTTCGCACCTGCACCAGGTGTGGACACTTAGTTTGGGGCAATTTGGAGGCTTTTATTTTTCGAAATAGACAGTGAAGAAGAAGAGAACCGCTTAGTTGTGGCAAGGGCTATATGGGTTATTGTTGGGGAAGGGGCTTTCCAGTTTTGGAGGTGGGCAAGGCAACATCTCAAGTTGGATCAGGTTTGGCTGGTATCTGTCCCACACTCAAAGGGCTAAATATGGCACTGAGGGGGCCGGGCAGAGACGCCAGCTGTGGGGAGGGGGAGAACCCAAATGCTAAATCAGCCGATCTCCCAGTTGTGCCCCACCACCCCATACCACCCACGTGCCAGCGCTGCCCCTTCCTTCCTTCTGCACTGGGGTGGCTCCCGTTTTCTGGCACGTGCAATCACACACACAAACGATGCAGGCCGGCTGTTATTTTTGTATCGTCAGCAAAAGTGTGTGTCGTGTGTGTGTGTGTGCGCGCGCAAAAAAAAAAGAATAAGGAGCTTGCACGTGTGTGTATTATCAAGCCTTGAGCACTCTGCTCCTTGGAACGATAAGCCTTAAACCGACCAAGACTGTCAGTCTGAGTGGAGGGTTTAGAAATATTGGGATGGATAATTAGATTTCATATCGTTACTGCTGCAGCCATTGAAGGATCAGGCAGATTAATTTTTTCCCCTCGCCCTCCTTCCTTCTCATTAATATTCATTAGCGGCCCAGGAGGCAGAGAGGGGCCAGGGCTGAGCAGGAGCGAAGTGGGGCAGACGGCAAGGGGGGGGGGGGGAAACAGCCAAGGACCTTCCTCCTCTCTTCCCCTCTCAAAGGGGGCACATGCCGCTATGCCACGCATTGTCTTTTCCTCCAAAGTCCTGCTTGGCCTCATGTGCTGGAACTTTTTTTTCACCAGCAGCTATTTGGAGGAAGTGTACATTCGAACCTCCATATTCAGCAGCAGTTCACCTCTCCCCTGACCGCCAAGGAGGAAAGAGGCGGTTCTTTGGCCGCTTTCTAGAAGAGTCCATGTCTATTGCATTAGAAGGGACAGAACATTTTTCTCTAGTTGGGATCATAATTAGCCACGCTCGTTCAAATAGGGCCTTGAAATAGAGGGGCAGACCCTTCAGATCTCCCTGAAGGGGTGAATGTTGGCTGCTTCCCGGGTGGAGTGTTTCGAGGGGGGGGTCTCCTCCGCCCACAGCGGTGAGGGGGAAGCAGAATGAAACCTGCCTCTTGGGTCTGGGCCCCAGAGTGCCTCGGGTGGGTCCATAAGCTGCAAACCACATGAACACCCAGGGAGGAAATTGCTGAGAACCCGCTGGTTTTCGCTGGAATTTGGCAAAGGGGTACATTTTGTTTTGATAAGGCAGGTCGCTGGAACAAGATGCACCTGGTTATTTGAAGTGGGGGATGAAAAGCTGCAGGATTCCCTGGGGCTGTGTCCCGTGAGGGGGTCCATTGGGTAGGGGAGTCTCTTGCGGTAAGTAGGGGGCTCATCCATGGCCCCTCTGGCTCTTTCTCTGTCTCGAAGGCAGCATCAGGAGGACCCAGGACGGATGTGGGGGTCTTCCAGCTGTTTATTCTCTGCTTTGAATTCCCATCTACCTCTTAGGTTGGGATCATAAGCTCATCCTCCAGTTCTCTGCACCCCCAAAAAACAGCCTGTGGGTGCCCCTCCCTGGACAGGACTTTCCAATTGTCTCTTGTGCCGCAAACCGGACCGGGGGTGGGAGATAGGTGGGAATTCAACAAGAGAAAATCCAGGACCGATGCTTAGACCACCTTGTTCTCCAGAAGCTTTCCAGTCCTCCCCTGAGGGTCCTGGGGGCTCAAGCAAGGTGGCTTCGGGGTCCATACCTGCCCATCCTTCCCATCACTGCTGAACATCTGTGGCTGCATCAGCGGCAGCCTGGGCTCCGTGCCTGGTTGGAGAGTCACAGCGTTTCCTTTTGTCTTGCAAAAGTGGGGCCTAGCTTAGCTGACTGCCCCCCATTCCAGCAGTCCAGCCTCTCCTCCTCCTCCTCCTCTAATCTCTTTTCCTCCCTGCACACCACCGAGGTTAGGGGTGAAGTGGCTGCTTCCTCCCCGACCGGCACAGCTTGGCCCGCGGGTGACGAAGAAGAGGAAATAACAAGCTTGTTGTGTTTGTGCTGGGGCCGCAATGGCCTCCGGGTCACTTTCCACAAGGGAGGGGGCTGTCCTCGGGCGGAGGCCCCCTAACTCCTCGGGGCTGCCCTGGCCCTGCTGGGCAGCCGTCCGGAAGGGAAGTGAGCTCCGGGCTTCACTCCGTGGCCACGTGGATCACACCACCAGGCTGCTGGAGCGAGGAAGGAAGCCACCCACTGACCTGGGCAGACGCAGGAGACATGTGTCCAGATACCCCAGACACACACACACACACACACACACACACACAGCATTGATTGCTTGAGTCAATTCGTATCTCTGCCTGTTCGGGTGGCGTGGCGTGGCATGGCGCGCCAGGCAGTTCCATTATCAGCCACTGGTCCAAGGCTGTTGCCTTTCTGGCTCCCTGAGGGTGGTGCTGGGTGAAGCCAGGCCAGCTGTTGAAAGGGGAAGGGGCACCAGTTGAGAAGATGAACCCAGGTGGGGTTCCCATCCCATCATTGCAGCGCATTTGTGGGGAAAATTTGAGCATCTCCTGGAGCATCTACAACGGCGGCCTTCTGCACCAGGCTGGTTCCAAATGTCCGGGCCAAACTTTGAGACCTTGCCAGCTCAACTTGATCTTCCAATGGTGGCAGGTTTTTGTTGTTGTTTTTTGCTGGAGTTCAGAGTGGAACCTGTTTTGAGAGAGTGACTGGCACGTTCAAACCCACTTCTCTTCTCTTCTCAGCTGAACCTGCCCGTGACCCTGATCCTGCAGGATGACACGTGCTGGCTGGCCAAGCTTTCCTTGGTTCCTAGCGAAGGGGACGCCAATTCGGTGATCTACAAGAAAGGTCAGCCCTTGAGCAGTGAGCCCTGCCTGATTTGGGGTGGGGGGAGGGAAGAGAAAGGGGTTCATTCCAGTACAGGCAAGGATGCTAAAAAGACCCCCTCGAAGGAGAAGTACCTATTTACTTGTTTTCAGGAACTAATTCTGCCCATTTACTAAAATCACGCTGTTAACTGTACAGGTAGTCCTTGTCTTACAACTATGATTGGGATGAGAAGTTCCATTATTAAACAAGGTAGTCGTTAAGTGAGTCACAGACCGTTTTATGACCTTCAGGGTCACTTCAGCCATTGAAAATTGGTGCCAACTGCCGAGCAACCAAATTTTGATCACATGACTGGGGATGCTACAATGGTCATAAACCCAGGAACCCAGTGGTCACTTTTTCAGTGCTGTGGTAACTTTGAATGGTCGCTAAAGGAATGGCTGTAAGCACTTAGTCCATCAGTATATTTCAAGCAGCAAAGAGGGGCTGACAGGGAGGAAGCATCCTTCTATTCGGTGGCAAAATATGAGGAAAGAGCAGAATTAGGGAAGTGAATGTGTTGGTAGGCACAGATGTAGCAAATGAGCACCCACAGGCACAAGGGTTTAGGGCAGGGGTCTTCAAACTTGGTCCTTTTATGACTTGTGGACTTCAACTCCCAGAATTCCTCAGCCAGTGTCCACAAGTCATAAAAGGGCCAAGTTTGAAGACCCCTGGTTTAGGGATTAAATTGTAGCTCTATTGGGAAGACACAGATTTGAAGAAAGGGTGGTGGGTCTACAGTGCTAGATGTTTTCAGGGGTAGCATTCCAGCCAGAACCCAAGGAAGGGATATGGGCAAGGGGCTTCCGAGTGAACAGGTCAGGTGTGTTAAGCAATCAAAGAGAGAGCCATAAAGAACATTGTGCCATTTTTTTGTGAATGTGTGGTCCAACACTGCCACCTCTCTTTGGTTGTGTGCATTGCACAGAGCAGTCAGTGCAAAGTTTCAGAGATCAAACAGGCATTCTGAAACCGCTGGTAAAAAAAGGAAAGTGATGCTCCTGTCTGTCCTTTAAGGCACTTGGCTCAAGCGGTCATTCTTTAATCTGAATCCTCAGAGACCCCAAGCTTCTCAGGGACTAAGCAACTTCATCTTATGTTTTGGATGTATAATATTTAATCAGCTTCCTTGAGAGTTTCTCAGGATAATACCAGAATGTTTAATAAATGAACCCCATCCCAAGAAGGCAGAAGCCACTTTTTACATTTAATGAATAATGACCTCTCCGATGCCCCTACACAATGTGTGTGTATGTGTGTGTGTGTGTGAGGGGGGGGGTAGATATAAATACAGTATAAAAATGTGCACATAATATTTTAGATATACCTTTTATTCCCCTTACCGTTGGACAATCCAATGAGCAGTTGGTGCTCAATGTATTTTTCAGGTCATTCTGCTGTTCATCAGAGTTGTTGCCGAATTCAATTCAGAAATCAATTCAAATTCCACTGCATAACATTTATTCCACATCTTCTCTTACTCTATGCACCGGAAAGTAGACCACCTAGAGTCTTGGCCTTGGGATAGCCCTGTGAGACAAGCCAGCTGCTGCAGCTCCCATTTTACAACCAAGAGTGGAGTCCAGGGAGGGTGATTTTTCTCAAGGCTGCTTGGGAGACTTTAGGTCCCAACGAAAGGACATCATCTCTCTGGACAAAATTGGCCATTTCACAGAGCAACAGGCTGGATGACACTGCATCTGAAAACTTGTGGTTCCCATAATTGTGTTATTTGATCTCCTTCTCAATTTCCAGATGACTCCATTTGGTGTAAAACCACCAAGCCTCTTTCCGAAGGAGATGCGCTGAAGGCGTTTGTCATGGCCGAGCCAGTGGGAATCCCCAACCATGCTGAGAAGACCGAGAGTGGGGAGTCCGCTCCCCCTGTTGCTCTCCCTTCCGAAATCCAGCTGCTTCCCCAGCAAGCGGGGATGGCAGCCATCTTAGCCACGGCAGTTGTCAACAGTAAGTGATTGGTTAAGGCCTTCCTGCAGCCATCCCTGCTAAGAGGCCTGGACGCCAACTCCTGGGAATTCTGGGAGTTGAAGTCCACGCATCTGGCATCTGGTCTCCTGCTGGATTAGATCATCCATCCCAGCCTTGGTGCTGTCCTCAGTGGGGGCTCTCGCTCTAAACCGATTCCTCTCATCACTTCAAACACCCTTCTGAGTTTCCGTTCCACGGCTTCCCATCATGTGCACACTGTAAATCATGGCAGCCCCTTCCCAGGTCCTGCTGGATTGCCTCATTGTGACTGGTGGGGTGTTCCTGGGAGGGGTGATCAAAGAACATCAGGAAGGTATAAGTGCCGGATGAGGTCACCCAGAGCAGACACAACAACTTAATGGCATATAATCAAATCATCACAGGTAGTTCTTGACTTACAGCTTACAATTGGTACCAGAATTTCCATGGTTAAACACAGTTGTGCCCGATTTTACAACCTTTTTTGTCGTGGTTGTTAAGTGAATTACTGGAATCACACGGTCACTAAATGAATATGACTTCTCCCATTGACTTTGCTTGTCGGAAGCCAGCTGGGAAGGTCGCAAATGGTGCTACAACTTTGTAAATACATTCCAGGTGCCAAGCACCCAGATTTTGATCACATGACCATGGGGGGATGCTACAATGCAAGGATTGGTTGTAAGTCTCTTTTTTTTCAATGCTGTCATAAGTTCCAATAGTCACTAAACGAATGGTTGTAAATCAAGGACGACCTATAAAGATGGAAATCTAGCAGAAAAAGAAGCCACGGCTTTGTTCCTGCAATCATCCCAACTTTTGGGCCCAGAATTAAAAACCAGTGATGGCTCAGATGGCCTCGTGGGGGCCGGTCTAACGGAGGACCTCTGACCATGAGGGTTTGGCCAGTCGCTCTCCTGCCCCGAATCCACGCCCTTCGTGGTTCTCTGGCTGCAAAGGAGACTCTCCTCCCCTTCTCTGACCCTCTTCTGCCTTCCAGAGGACGTATTTCCCTGCAAGGACTGTGGCATCTGGTACCGGAGCGAGCGGAACCTGCAGGCTCACCTGATGTACTACTGTGCCAGCCGCCAGAACGCCGCCTCGCCCGCCCTGGACGAAAAGCCCAAGGATGCCTACCCCAACGAGCGCATCTGCCCCTTTCCCCAGTGCCAGAAGAGCTGCCCCAGTGCCAGCTCCTTGGAGATTCACATGCGCAGCCATAGCGGTAAGAGCTGTGCCACGCTTGGGAGGACCCAGGTTGGGTGGGAAGGGGCAGAAGGGCCCCAGGGACTGAGGGGCCCCAATTCAGACACAGAGGCACCCCAGCTTTCAAAGCTCTCAACCTGCACACATTCGAAGTATGGGACTGATAGGAGGTTAGCTGCCGTTGTGGGGTTATTGTCTAATATAAAGTCTCATCACTGGCAGTGAGGTAGGGAATTTCATCTCAGCCATGGGCATCTCCTGCAGCCCTGCCAAAGTCCAACTGATTTCTTTAAGATGTACCTGTCTTAAGAGGTGTCCTGACCTCTCCGTCACGTTGCAGAGCTGTGCAGGAAACCATGGACCAGCCCTGCCATTTTTGGGCAGGAAGACACCACCGCTTTTGCCCCAAGTTCTGCAATTCACATCTGGCTTCTTTTTCAGGAGAGAGGCCGTTTGTCTGCCTCATCTGCCTGTCTGCCTTTACAACAAAAGCAAACTGTGAGCGACACCTCAAAGTACATACAGATACCCTGAACGGTAAGTTGGACTCAGGGCTGGAAGTACGACATGGAGTGAATCCTTTTCAGAGACCCATTCGCTGTGCGCATGCTACTCTTCCTGGTTCACTCATTCTTGTGCAAGGTCAAAGCAAGGCTCCATTGCTGGCGGTCCTGCTCCTAAGAGTTCCTTCTCATAGTGGTGGATTTGTAGAAAGTCCTGAGCTTCTGTAATTGGACAGAAGATGCTAGCAGTGGAAAGCTGTGAAAAATGGTGGTCATTTGGTAGGACGGAGAAAAGAGTTGGCCTCTGTTAGATGCCCCTAGAGATACCATAGCTCAGTGGCAGAGCCTTTGCTTGCCTTGCAGGAGCTCCTAGATTCAGCATCTGTAGATAGAGGAATTTGGCTTGAAACTCTGGAAAGTCGTGTCTACTCTATAGTTATAAGTTCATTTACTACTATTTCTAAGTCAGCTTTACCCATATAAGCTGCCTCATCCTACCCACTGTACAACAGCGTCAGTAACCCCCAGTGTAGCTGGAGTCAAGGCTATTGGTAGATCACCAGCTTTGCATGCAGATACCCCCAATTTCACTACCTGCTGGCCACCATCGACAAGTTTGTGGAGAGGTCCTGGCAGCCCAAGTATAGGTAGTTTTATGCTGTACAGACCAAAAATCAGGCAGTTTCCTGTGCTTACAGGTGTCTGCCACAGCTGTGGCTTCATCTCCACTACTCGGGACATCCTCTACAGCCACCTGGTTACCAATCACATGATCTGCCAGCCTGGCTCCAAAGGAGAGGTCTACTCCCCAGGCCCCACCATCCCTGCTTCCACCACTAAACCAATGGCCCTGGGTAAGTGAGGGAGGTCCAAAAATGTCCTGTTCTGGTTAAAAGGTCCAACTAGGGCTGACAGAATTCTGAGGAATCTGTTTCATAAAGTTGCATTTTTAAAAAAATAAATAATAGGTAAGGAGTGAACCCGCTGGTGAATTCTAGCAAGTGTCTGTAAGTGGATTGGTATTGGCAACAATTGATCAGGTTGCCTGCTTGAGTTAATGTTGGGATCACACGAGAGATGGCTTCCTCTGGATTTATCCTGATGGGTATGATCTTGGAGAGCATGAAGATCATGGAGTTCCCAGAAGAGCCCAGTCACCTGCAGGTGAGCCCGGTTGCCGTGGGCATTCCCGCAAAGGCTCACTCCTTCTGTTTGTCTTCCCTTCTGCAGGCTTGAGTTCTCCGGGTTCGTCCTCCGCATTCAAGTGCAGCTTCTGTGGCTACGTGGCCAATTGCTTGACCAGCCTCCAGCAGCACGTGGTTCTGCATAGCACCGCAACGACAGCTCTGCCCAACTCGGAGCCCAAAGCTGTTCAGCAGAGCCCGCCAGAGGCACCCGCCAAATCCCCTTTACAAGAAGTGAAGGGGTCCCCTGCAGAGGAAGCGAGAACTGGATCCCCTTCCCAAGGAAAGAGTCCCAACTGCGTTGATGGGGCACCATCTGTGCAAATCAAGGAAGAGCCTTTGGAGGAGGGGGAAAGCCCTCAAGGAGCCCCCCAAGAAGAGGCAGCTCCGGAACCGGAGGCCGAGCTGGATGCATCCTCCAGGGTGCCCTCGCCCCACAGCCTGCACTCTGTGAAGGTGAAGTCAGAGATCACCAGTCCCACGCCAGGATCCAGCCCGGTGCCCAGCGAGCTTGGCGCCAGCACCTCCGGAGGCACCGTCTTTCTGCCCCAGTACATGTTTGGCCATGAAGCCACCATGATGCCCCAGGCGTCGGAGATCTTGGCCAAGATGTCCGAGCTGGTTCACAGCCGCCTAAAGCAAGGCCACGGTGGGGTGCCACCTGCCCTCTTTCCAGGCACCCCGGTGCCCAAGGGTGCAACCTGCTTTGAGTGTGAGATCACATTCAACAACATCAACAACTATTATGTCCACAAGCGTCTTTATTGCTCCAGCCGCCGCCTCGCTGAGGAGAGCCCCACTGCCCTGCGCAAGGCCAAGATGTCTCCCGCCACTGCACCCAAAGGCCCAAGCGCTGCCGGGGCATGTCTGTCGCCCGGAGAGAGCAGCGCAGCCCAAGAGGGGGAACCGGAAGGAAATGCCACCCCTCCCACCCTAGAGATCAAGCAAGAAGTCAAAATGGAGGAGGGCGGAGCCAAAGCCAGCCCCTCCCCTGAGACAGATGGAACTGGGCGCATCAGCGAGGGGAGCCCAAGCCCAGGCACCAGCTCTGTGGAGGAACCGGAGGATGACCCAAACCGGACCATCTGCGAAGCCTGCAACATCCGCTTCAGCCGCCACGAGACCTACATGGTGCACAAGCGCTATTACTGCGCCTCCCGCCACGACCCCCCCCTGCGCCGGACCAGTGCGGCCGGCAAGCTGCCCTTCCTCCCCCAACCGATCCGCACACGCAAACGCCGCAAGCTGTACGAAATACACAACGCCAGCAGCCAATTGGGGGCTGCCCCAGAGGTCCCTCGCCCCGAGGCGTCCCCTGTGGTCCCTGCTCTCATTTCGGTGGTCAAGGCCACTCCGTCTCCCAGCTCAAGCCCAGACGCCGAGGGCCCCATCGACCTCAGCAAGAAGCCCCGCCTGCACAGCGGGAGCCGGGTGCTCCCAGCCTCCCTCCGTCCCCTGGCGGACTACCACGAGTGCACAGCCTGCCGGATCAGCTTCCACAGCCTCGACAGCTACCTGGCCCATAAGAAGTACTACTGCCCAGCCACGCCCTTGCAGCCGAGCACCATGGAGCAGCTGCAGAAGATCAAGGGCGCCACCCCAGCACTTCTGAAGCCCCAAGAAAGCCCAGGGGGTCGGGCTGAGGAACCCGAAGGGGTAGCAATCAAGGTGGAGAAGGTGGCGCCTTCCTTGAGCCCTGTGGCTGCACCAGCCAGCTTCTCTGCTGTAGAGCCACTCCAGCAGCAGCGCTACCTGGAGGGCAAAGCCCAGCACCTCGCAGGTGCCAAGGTGCCCCTGGCCGTGTGCCCTTACTGCCCCATCAATGGCACCGTGAAGGGAGACTTGGTAGAGCACTTCCGAAATACTCATGGACTGTTTGTGACCAAAACAGCAGCAGGGCCCACGTTGATAGAGGCCACCCGGACGCTGGCCGATGGCAGCCCGCTTCCCTCGCTGCCAGGCACCTCCCCGCCACAGCCGGCCCCCAGACTGCCCAAAGACAGCTTCAATGGCAAAGAGGCGCCCGTCCCTCCCTTGTCCAATGGGAGCCCTCGACCCACGCCTTCTCCACAGCCCCTCCTGCCACTTTCCCCCTCTGTCCCCTTGCCCCTCTCTCCCCTGCCCGAGACCCTCCCCAGCACCCCCCCTCCTGGGTATACGGACAAAGGTGCACAGACCCCTTCCGGCAAAGGCCTGCCCACCCCCGTGGCCAACGGCAGCCACCGGTATTGCCGCCTTTGCAACATCAAATTCAGCAGCCTGTCCACCTTCATTGCCCACAAGAAGTATTACTGCTCATCACATGCGGCCGAGCACATCAAGTAGCGCACCAGCCCTGTCTGCCTCTTGTGCCCGAGCAGCGTTGGCCTTCTTGGGAGTGCAGGCCTCTTGCCAGTCATGGCAGCCGAGGGCACTGCCACCCAACATGCTCTCTGCCCTTTGGTCTGGAACCAGGGAAGATTTGGGTTTGCATGAAGAGCAGCTGTGGAGGGGGCCGAGAAGGGGGGAGAGGAAAACTTGAGGGTGCTGCAGGGATCCTGCCTAGACTGAAGCCCAGAGCCCCGGTATGCGTCCCCAGGGACTACTTTCTTCAGCCTGGATGCCCTTTCTCCCTGTTCTCCAGGCCGCATTGTTCAGGATTGGCTGAGGTAGGATCTGAACAGCAGAGATGAGCAGCAGGTAAGGAGCAGCAAGACCTGAATGCCTCTTGGAGGACCATTCCCTCCAAAGCTCAACACGGCTCTCTTGCAGGAGAGAGTCAGAGGAGCCTGTTGCTCCATCTTCTTTTTTTAGTTTCTTTGTCACTCTTTCCCACCCACCCACCCCCCTTATCCCCATAGTGGTGATTTTGCTGCCAAGCACCTGCTACTGCAGGGACCCAAGAGAAATTTCGGACAGCCCTTTCTGGTTGCAGAATCTGGGTCTCGGATCAAGCACGTGCATCTTTCCCCCTTGCTGTGGGCCACGACTTCATTGGGGCAGCAGATCTTTCTCGGCATGCCTGGCGCCCCCATCTCCCTGCCCCCCAATGTCAGGGCCCAAGATCAGAGGGTGAAGCCAAGGGCCCCCAATGGCTTAGAGATGAAGTCCCGAGCACAAGGGGGCCCTCAGAGAATTGGGGGTTCTGATGCTGAAGATGAGGGACAGCCATCAAGATTCACCTGTAGAATCACTGGGCGTGTCGTACGGGTGTCCAAAATGTCTTCAATTTCAATTCTTTGGTGAAACACCAACTGAAAACAAAACTGAAATCATCTAATGGTACAGAATGCTTTTGTTCTGGGAGAAAGGAGGCCCCCTGCATCCAGCCATCTTTTTCTGTCCCCCCCCCCACACACACACATTCCTTTTTGGCTCCTGGCATCCCCTCTTCAGTTGGCCCTGGGCCCCATGCCACTTGTCCAGGCCCTTCCCTTCTGGCATGAAACAGGAGGGGCAGAGCTGGTGAGCTACAAACCCTTCTTTCTGGGTAGGAACTCCCTGTTGGCCCCCAGAACAAAAGGAGAAGAGGAGACCTTTCATAGTTGGGAGCAGATTTACACCTTGTGCATGCTCAGAGACCTTGACTCTTGGCAGGTCTGCCCATTTTAGGAAAAGGTATGGAGCTAAGTCATTCTGGAGCGCAAGGACTGCCGTCCTGTTTTTCCAAAGCAAGACCCCCTCCCAGAGGAAGTGGGATAAGCGAGATCCCAACAGTGAACGATGCCCCAGCTTGCCTTCCACTTTTCTGGATAGATTAGGTGTGGGGCAGCTGCTGTAGCCTCTTAGCCCAGCAGAAACCCCCTTGGAATCTGTGCCCAGCCCCTTTCCCAAGCATTTGATACTGGCGCTTGCTGCTGCCCCAAGAGTGCCATCCTGAAGGGCCTTAATTTGGGGGTATCCTGCCAGCGGGTGGCCGGAAGCTTTCCCTCCGAGGGCTGGGGACCCTCCCTGCTGAGGGAGGCCAGCAGGCAAACTTGCCCGATCTAGGGGTCCCTCGGCAAAATTGGGCCAATTGGAAGAGGCTGCCTTCCTTCCTTCCCTTTCCCCGTTGTCCGGTGGATTGTGTAGAATTAATGTGGACTGTAAATGAGATGCAGACAAGACAGCACTGAAGGGCAGAGGGGGAACCCTCCTGCTTGGGAACTATGTGTATAAGCCTGTACATAAATAAATGTTCATTAAATCTGTGTCTCGGACTCGAGTTTTGCATGGACACGGGGTGGGGTGGGGGTGGGAGAGGAAATTTAGGGCCCTTGGTCAGTGGATTTGAGTCCTGAAGCTGGAGGAAGAGGTCCAACCAAGTTGGGCAAATCTTCTCCCCCAGGCGTGAGGATGATCACGTTATCCATTCAGTTGAGTCCGACCCTTGGCAGTTCTATGGACCTGGTCTCTCCTGATCTTGCTCTGCTTCTTTGAGTGGTTCTCTGCTCTGGCTGCGTCAGCTTTGATGGTGTCCAGCCACCGTGTTCTTTGAGGACACTAACTTCTTTTTCTGCTAGATTTCCATCTCTATAGTTCTCCTTTTACCACTAACTCTTCCAAGCGTAATTGCTTTCTCCAGTGAATCCCCCCCCCTCCCGTGTGACCTGGCCAAATTAAGTGAGACGGAGTTTTATGATTTTGCCTTCTAGTGACACGCCTGGTCTTACGCGCTCCAGGACTTGCTTGTTCATCACCTTTGTTGTCCAAGGAATACGCAGGAGCACCACAGCTCTCTGGCATCAGAGCTCAGATGAGTTGGGGTTTTTTTCTGCTTTTTTAAGGTCCAACTTGTAACAGGTTCCCCTCAAGGGAGAATCTTTGGCAACCCAGAGGGGTGCCTGATGAAGCCAAGTCAAGTTATGAAATAACTCTGCAAGCTACGCCTTTTCTCAAAGACCAGGAACTCTGATGGTGCAAGCAAGTTGGGGAAGGAAAGCAGAAGAGAAACATGGCTCAGATCTTGTGCAAGGAAACTGTTAGCCACACTGTCTGCATGGCGTGATTCTGGCCGCTGGACGTCGCCAGAGCCCTGCTCCTCATCCCAGCTGTTTGGAAATTGGAAGGGCTCACGCAGACCCCTTTGAACCCGGAGCTGTTCTGGTGAAGGGGTTTCTCAGAACTGAGCCATCTCTTTAGCTGGAATTTAACCTGGAAGCCTTTCTGAAGTCCTCAAGTCTCTGGAATGTTACCTGGAGAGCATTTTCCTGTCCCAATGGCAGCTCTGTAATTGGGGATTTGCTTCAGGGCAGAGACTTAACAAGTGATATTCTAGTTCTCTAAAGGATAGGGATCAAATTTCCACCCTGCTGCCTGGACAGACTGCAAAATCTATTTGCCTTAAACCCATCATCCAGCAGCTCCTTCACTTTAAAATCCTCTCTGAGTTTTGCCCATTGTGCCAGGGAATCTTAATCGCCTGTTTTTGTTAACAGCACTGTTGTTTAAATCCTGTTTCTAAATCTATACCAACCCAAGGAGGAGCTTTCTAAAAACAACCGGAGGTATCAAGATACCAGCTGGTGCCAACTCATTCCTGACACAACCTCTCTCTCCTGTGCTAAAGCTGAATTTTTGAATGCTTGACCTGCAGGAAGACTGCAGGTAAGGGAGGATACAATTGGGCAGGAATGAAATCATATTGTTTTCTGTGAGGGGCAGCGGGTATAAAACGCTGGTCTTTTGCAGGACTGGGTGCTTCGGTCACATTCTGGGTCTTGGAAATACTTATTTTATCCCCTTTCAACTCCCTGGCACCTGGGGGTGGTCACAACGAGCCAAGCATCAGACCCCTCAGCTGATCCAAATTCTTTTCTTCAGTTTTTCTGCCTCTGCAAACTGGAGGATGGGGACCCCTGTGGAGAATGGCTTTGATCCCTTTTCAAATGCTCTATTAGAGCTGATTGTTACTCATTAACTGTCCTGGAGAGAGGCAGTGTTTTGATGTGCACCAGGCCTCCTGGTGTTCTGTGATAGGCTCTCTGCAGCCTCCCTCCTGCCTCTCCGGTTGGCTGGCTGGCCCAGGGTCTCCTCGCTGGCACGGTCAGTCAGGCCTCTCTGGCAGGTGGCTGACAGCAGCACAGAAGAGAATGGCAAGGCAGCAACGGTAGGAGGCAGCTGGAAATTGGCCCCGCTGTGCCTGGAATTGTGGAACTGGGTCCAACCGCTGATGAGGGGCTCACGGGGAAATTGGGGGCACTTGGCTGGCAGTCAGGTTGCATTCACTATTGGGTGCATAATGGTTTGCTTTGGAGTTTGACTAAAGGAATAGAAAAATATCAATATATATGGGAGGGGGGAGTATGCCCAAATTCCAGCTCTGGTTTCATCACCATAAATATCTTGGGGGATGGGCAACATTTTGGATTTTGTCTCCAAAACGTGCTTCTGAGGATGAGGATTCACACTACACTGGGGATACTTTGAGGCAGTTTATGACTGAAACTCAATAACAGGAGTCAAATATTGAAAATGAGCAATGCTTTGGAGGAGTATACACATCAGGTGAGATCAGCTGCTTTAAGGAAGGGGGCCTTCAAACTTGGCAACTTAAGACTTGTGGAGTTCAACTCCCAGAGTTTTCTAGCCAGCTAAGGAATTCTGGGAGCTGAAGTCCACAAGGCTTTAAATTGCCAAGTTTGGAGACCCCTGCTTTAAGGTATTGGAGGAAGACTTACCTTCTTATTATTTACAATATTTCTGCAGCTGCCCATCTTCTAACCAATTCTGGGTAGCTCCCAGATGTTAAATTCATGCTCCCACCCATACTGAAGCCCCTTCCTGGAGATCAAATCTGAAGCAATGCTTGGCTCTCAGATCCAATGAACGTTGCTAAATTGGCCTTAAATTAGTTTTGCAATCCACATAGCAATTTGCTCAGGTTTAGCTTGGCTGCTCTCTGCAGTGAGTCGGCATCACCTCGCAGGGTCTGACCTTTCTGGAGAAAATAAGACTTTAAGTTTGGAGAGCTGGCTGCATCCCTGGAAGATATGAAATGCCCCTTGGTCAAATGACACAGACCCCCCCCCCAGAGGAAGCAGCGGGAGGGTAGTGCCTAGGATGAGTCATTCTGTTGCAAGATTGAAGCACGTCAAAGAGATTTTTTTTATATACATGTATGGCTTGAAGCGATCCAGATTAGAAATGGGGAGGATTCTTTAGCAAGGTTTTCAGTATTGTGGCCCCACCCTTGAAAGAGAGTTAAGGACAAATAAGAATAGCACCAGTTTAGATAGCAATCAGTTTGAGGAGGTTACAGACCAGAGGGTAGTCTGTGAGGAAGCATAGCCTTTTATTGTATTGCACTATATTTTAATATCATGGATTAAATGAAGAGGAGGATTCTGACCAGATTCATACAACCTATGTTATGTTGATCTAGTAGATCAGGGGTGTCAAACTCAATTTCATTGAGGGCCGCATCAGCATTGTGGTTGCCTGCGGGGGGGGGGCCTACTGGTGGGCGTGGATGGAGTGTGTGTGGCCTACTGAGTGGGCATGGCCAGCTCTACATCGTTCACGTCAAGGGTGCCCGTGGGGGCCTGGGCAGGAGTGGGACAGATCTGGGAGTCTCTGGCAGAAGGGGGTGGGACCGGGGCAAGTGCCAAGGCATGGTCCATTTCTTCATTCCTCACAAAGGGTGACACCTCCCCAGCATGCACCCAGGGGGCGGGGCCGACACGGCAGGGGCTGGTTCCTCGCTGTTTCTAGACGGCCTTGTGGAGCTAAGACTGAATGCGTTTCAGCATAGATGGCCACCACAAAATTGTACATTGGCTCCTAGCCGGCTTGGGCCAGGGCCAAGGCAGCAGGGGCCGTTCCCTCACTGTTTCCAGAATGGCTTCATGGGCCACATGAAACCACTTCGTGGGCCACATCCAGCCCCCGGGCCTTGTGTTTGACATGTCTGCAGTAGATCAACATCTCCTGCCCCTCGACTTAGCACATCCAATGCAATGCAGGGTCCAGTCAAAGGCAGCTTAGCATGGCCTATGGAACTGTTCTCCCAACACTGGGCTGCACAGAGCAATCATGCAATCTCTAATTCCACCATTCAGGATAGAGTTTCGGGGGTCTGACGGCTTTTCCACTCTTGCTTTATTTATGGATTTGCAAGCTGAAGAAAAGGGGAGCCAAAATGAGAAATGAAAATGAAAAGGCTGTAGCCCTCCCCAGGAACCTCTCTGCCTTTTTTGTCCATTTGACCAAGCAGTCCACAGCCAGGGAAGACGTCTCCCTACCCAAACCAGGGTGGGTCTCTCCTTCGACTCCCCCACCCTGCGAAGACCCTCAGCTGCCAGGAGACCCTGCAGTGGCCTTACTCTGGACTCAGCAACCTGGTCATGAGGAAATGGCTTTTGACAGGAGAAATGTCAATGGGGAATCAGCCTGTGCTTGGAACCCTCCGAGTCCAACTCCCTGCAGGGATCCTTAGCTTGGCCCAAAAGCTGGAGAGGCTGCAATATCAATCCCTTGATTAGATACGCTTCCAGAAATAAATATCAAAGCACCCTCCTTTCCATGGCAGACCTCTTTTTCTTTTCTTCTCTCTCCCCCTGTGGGGTCCGTGCAGAAAAAGATTTCTCCTGCAGCTCCCCCCTCCCTCCTCTTTTTCCACCAGATCAAAACAGCCAGCTTTTAATAAAAGCCTCTGAGCAGCCACTTGAAACGGCCCTTGTTCCTTCTATTTATTGGTCATTTCTGATCTTCAGCCTCCGAAACACCCACTGACATTTATTGTGCACAAACTTGGAGGAGACCATTATGGGTGGAAGTAATTCAGCCCGTTGCTTGTAGATCTTGGTTTTTGTCCTGCCTGGGTTTTCTCATCTCCTTACCTTTTCCGTTTTGGTGAGTGGAGGGGGGAGGAGAGCCTTGGCTGGCTTGTTTTTCAGCCAACGTTTGTAGAAGGTGCTTGGCTGTTCCTATGTTTCTCTTCTGAGTTTTCTCCAGAGTCCATCCATCTATCTATCATCTATCTCTATTCTTCAGCAAAAGGTGGCTACCGTCCACCAACCTGTACCTTTTCATTCCAGACAAGTCCACAGATTAAATAAAGCTTCCGTTTTGAAAAATCAAAAATCTGAGGCAGTTGAAACAGGTAACCACAAACATCCACGTGACCTGTGATTGAATTTCTCCTTCAAGGTGGAGCAAAGGAGGTGGGAAATGTTTTGCTCTGCTCTGATTTTAACTGGCAGCTTCTCCCT